CCCCCGCACGGGACCAGCGCCGGCGAAATCGCCAGCTTCTGGGAGTGAAACCCTGTCATCCACCATTGTGCAGCAACCAGAAGATGACATGACTTGTGTTTGAATAAATGTAGATTGTTGTACATGAAAAAATAAAACATCCCCTGAAAATAAGCCCTAATGCGTTTTTGGAGCTATTTTTGGGGAAACATGGTATGTGTCTTGTGGCAACATGAATATCAAAGGCTGAAAGTTGGAAAGTGAAGAGAGAAAGCAAAAGGACAAGACATCCAACTCAGTGTATGAAATATATTGCCTCTCCCAGGGAAAAAAGGAGGGAGGTCTTTCTCCTTTGTGAAGAAAATCAGTTGTCCATCGAGTTGTTCTATGCATTGGGATAGCAGTGGTTGCTTAGATCATAGGACTGAGGAATTCATTAAAAGTTGCATATTCAGTTGAATTTGGGGAACCCACTTGAAGCATTCATTGTGTTGAGCTATTTCAATTGCTTTTCTTTGATTTATTCATTGCAAACTGCTGGAAATTTTAAATTTTTACAATAAATGGGGTTTGAATAATTTTGATGACAACTACTCCTGGAATTAAGCCCCACAGTTTATTTGTAGTTTCATGTCAGGCAATGGGTACCACAAATCCAGAAATTCTAGAGTTAAATGTTTTCTCGAAGGCTTTCATGGCAGGATCCAGTGGCTGTTGTAGGTTTTTTGGGTTGTCTGGCTGTGTTCTTGAGGTTTTTCTTCCTAACATTTCGCCAGTCTTTGTGGCCGGCATCTTCAGAGGACAGGAGTCAGAACTACAACAACCAATTCTAGAGTTAATTTGCTTAAAGAGGGAATGCGTATAACTGAGTTGTGACTTGCACATAAGAAGGCAATTGCACCTGACTTCTCCTGAGCTGAACTGTCCTTTGTATGTTTGGTGGTAAAATTTCTCCCCACCTTTTCCTTGGCCTTACTCAGTGCTACCATTTCTCACTGTTAGAACACAGACCCTGGGAACCTTTTGAATTGAAATTATGCCCCGACCCCCCCCCCCAAAAAAGGCTCCTTGCCTTTGTCTAAGAGCCTGTCTTCCTCATTCGAATATAGATTTGAATAGCTTTTAAAATCTTTTTTATCTTACACAAAATGTGCAAGAAGTCAAACACTGTTCAGTAAATTGACTATGTTGCCATGTAAATCTATTATACGATTGCAGATTAAATATGTGCCCAGCTAAATTTCAAAGTTTGTGTCTGCACTTTCTAGAGGTTTTACTTTAATCCTTATTTGCTGAAGCAAATTTTTGCAAAGGATGAAAATCCATACTTCACATAACTGTAATCAAATAAGTTGCTGCACATACTAGGTTGCAGAACACTTTAAAAGTGTGCAATCACTTCCTCATTTTTAACTCAGTACTGTACTTACCAAATACTTATTGAGTTTAGGTGGTTAAGTATCAGAGTTCCTTTTTCTCATTGAGGACATGGTGGGTTAAAATTTAAGCTCAAATTTTCAGCATTTAGATAATGTCTTCTTTCTGAAACATTTCAAAAGATTTCTCTGTGTTAGTATGTGTGTGTGAAAATCCAGATTGTAGAAGATCTACTTGTAATATAAAATAAATGAGAAATTTGTTCCATGATGGTTAATCTTAGGTAAGTATGCATATGATTGATGCTTTAGTGAAGTTGTTAACATAATTGTTGTGTATATATTTAGTGGCATACTTCCACATGTATGCCTTATCTTTTGCAATATTTTTCAGTCACTATGCTTAGAAAATTCTCTTTGAAATGTGTATTAATAACACTAGTTATATGTCCGTATTTCGTGAATTATGTACTTCCCTAATAAATGAACACATGTTCTGAATTGTATATTGCTGAATAAGATTGTTTTTGACAATTGTAGCCTTTATTTTTGAAAGAAAAAAGTTAGGTAAGTTTATGATATTCTGAAAGCATTTTTAATGTACAAAAGCTAACTTCATATATACTTATTTTAATAAATTTTACTTAAATTCAGCACAAGTCAACCGTTAACAACATGCTTTTTTCCATCTAAAAATAAGTTGCACTTGTGCTAGAATTCTTTGGTTGTCTCCACTTCAGTGACAGCTATAATTTGCATACATATTGATTTGAAAATTTGTATGAATAGTTTTGGAAAGAATAGCAGGATGGTGGGAAAAGTGGAAAGGAAGATTTTTGAGTGTGAGTTAAATAAATTAAGCTTAATGAGTATGAATTGTTTTTAAATGATCTATCTTTAATTCCATATTTGCCTTTTTAAGGAAGAAATCAAATTATTTATTTATTCTTAGGATATTTGAAATATTAAATAGGAAGCTTTCAGTTAATGATCTTTGTTGTCCTTCTGCAATGAGGTGAAGACCTTTATCTTCAGGTAGGCTTTTCCTTAGTGACTAATGTCTGGGAGACAATAAACAGGATAGTTTGTATCTTGTTGCTTCTAAATCTGTTTTTTTGTAATGCTTTTACTTAACATTTTTAACATAATGTATTAATTCTTCTTTAATATTTGAATAATTTACTGTTTTTAAATGCCTTAGGTTCTTTTTTAGGAGAAAGGTGGGGTAAAAATATTTTAAATAAATAAATATGCTGAAGAGTGCTTTTTTGTAATTATGTTCTTACATAGTATATAATCAAGCATACAAATGTGTATTTGGCCATCATGAATATATATTTTACGCTTGATACAGTACATGAAAAAATAATATTTTGTATATTTAGAGTATTTACAAAGGTCTGTAAATTTTTCAAAAAACAATCTTTAAGATATCCATTAAAATTCATTGCAGTACTATATTGAATATTTACAAACTGCTAATGCTTGCATATACATTTGTTTTATATTGCACATTTTATCTGATGGCTTGGCTTTTCTTATTTACATGTCAGATAATAGACATTTGATTGATACTGATCACATAATGGTGTTGGATCCAAATTTATAAGCGGCACATTAAAATATATCAATCCTATTGATTTTATTAGGTGAACGCTAAGTATCATTTGAAGACAATGCCCTTGTCTTTTTCCCCCCAGAAGTTTCATATTTGCCCCTTGTGCCCCATGAAAGGTGTACAAAAGGCATAACTGAAAATCTGATAGAATAGATAACTCCAGAGATGTTTACAAGCCAAATCTAGATTTAAGTATAACCCAAATTCATTTAAGCCAAATCTTTTTTCTTTGAATTCTGTTTATAAAGATTATTAAAAATTGTAAGAATCACATATTATTTGAAAGATAAGTCATGTATATCTGAAGTTATTTGCTAATCATATTTAATATTCATCATGCTGTCTTAACCATTCAAACACTGACAACCCAGAATTTTTTGATCAGCAGCTATTTGAATTAATACTTCAAAATTGTTGTTGTTGTTTAGTCGTTCAGTCGTGTCCGACTCTTCGTGACCCCATGGACCAGAGCACGCCAGGCCCTCTCTCCTCCACTGCCTCCCGGAGCTGGTTCAAATTCATGTTGGTCGCTTCGATGACACTGTCCAACCATTTCACCCTCTGTCGTCCCCTTCTCCTCTTGCCCTCACATTTTCCTAACATCAGGGTCTTTTCCAGGGAGTCTTCTCTTCTCATGAGATGGCTAAAGTACTGGAGCCTCAGTATACTTCAAAATAGGATTGCCAATATGATTGAACCATTTCACAGTTTTTTTTTTAAATAAAGGAGTCTTGTGCTTGCACATATATACAGTATTTGCTTTTTCAATTCTGATTTACCTGTAGTGGCAAATCATATTTTGCTCACAGGTTTTAGTTCAAATTTGGCTTACAGGCCAAGTTTTGTATCTTGTGGTCAAACAAGTTGTACAGTAAAGTAGTTGCTTTATTATTTTATGTATATTATTTGTATGCTGCCTTTCTCCCCATAGGGGATCTGAGACGGCTCACAGCAAGTAAAAGTCAAAACAATTAAAATACTATATCACAAAAAAAAACAATTAAACATTTATCCAGATTAAATACAAGATTAAAAACAGTTTTTAAAACATTTTAAAACCTCTAAATTTAGTAAATATAGCATTGCTGAGAACCCCACTTATTACTGAAAATCTTGCTTGAAAAGGAAGGTCTTCGCAGGATCATGGAAGGGCAAGAGGAAGAGGGCTTTCTATGGGTATTGCATTTCAAAGCTTTGGAGCAACCACAGAGAAGGCTGGTTTTCATGTCCTCACCAAGTGAGCTTCTGCAGTTAGTGGAACCTAGGGAGGGGCCTCCCCAGAAGATCTTAAAAGCTGGAAAGGCTCATTTGGGATAATACAATCTTGCAAGTAGCCTGGACCGATGTGGTATATAGGTAATACTGAGTGCTCTGCGTTGGGGCTGGAAAGTTCCTGGAAGCTAATGAAATTGATGTATTAAGGGACTTATATGCTCCCTGAAACCAGCTCTAGTTGGCAGTACAGCTGCAGCATTTTAAACCAACTGAAATTTCTGAGAAGTCTTCAAAGACAACCCTACACAGAGTGTTTCAGCAATCCAAACAAGATGTAACTAAGGCATGTGTCACCATAGCTAAATAAGACATCTCAATTATTGGGCACAGTTGGTGCACCAATGTTAACTGTGCAAAAGCATTCTGAGCCACTGCTGAGACCTGTACATCCAAACTCATGTTTGAATCCAGGGACACACTCAAGCTGTGAATTTGACTCTTCAGGGGAAGTGTAATCCCATCCAGTACTAGCTGAATCCCTATCCCCCAGTTTGCCTTTTGACTGACCAAGAGCACCTATGTCTTACCTAGATTAAGTTACAGCTTGTTAGCCCTTCTTAACTACTTAAATTTGTTTGGTATTAGTAAGTGTTGAGTTAAGTGAGCAGGTGATCATGCATTTTTAAAAATGTTCTGCAATATAGAATGTGTAACAACTCGTTTGATTGCAGTTATATGAACTAGGGTTTCTTTTCAAAAATTAGCTTCTGCAAATAAAAACACAGGAGAGAGTCTTCTCTGTTGCTGCATCCAGACTTTGGAACTCCCTCCCATAGGAGACCAGACAGGCCCCATCTTTGCTGTCCTTCTGCAAACAGGCAAAGACCTTTCTCTTTTGACAAGCCTTCCCTCAGTAACCTGCTTCCTGTGTGTGATTTTTGGATAAATTGTTATGCATTACTGCATGACTTGTGTTTTTCGATTTTTGTGTTCTCCATTTCTCAGAGTCATATTTTTAATTTTTTTGTATGCTTATTGATCTTTGTCTTAATGTTGACTGTTAATTGATCTAAGATTCCTCCTTATTAATTGTTCATAATTTTTAAATATCACCTTTTAACGATGTTAACCACAGTTGTATGCCCATTGTTTTCAACTTTAAATATTGTCTTTCATGGTTGTAAGCCACCTTGGGTCCTGTTCAAGGAGAAAGGCGGGGTAAAAAAACAAAATAAAATCTCTTGAAGGTGCAAATACACTCTCTTGACATTTTGCTGGTAAGCATTGTTCAAATCTATCCATATGAGATGGATTTACTGTACTTAATAAAGGAAGCCACAGGCTGGAGTTTACAAGAGCAGAAAGCATTTTGGAGATTGCTCATTCACAAGATTGCCATAAGTCAGAGGTGACTTGATGGCACGTAACAGCTACAAAAACATGTTATTTGAATCAGAATAAATAGTAAATATGAAGTAGAGTAATCAAAGCATTTTAAAGAGAAATGTTTGTGGAACCGCCTCAACTTCAAGCTACTTATTTTTTGAATATGGGATGGTATTAATAGACAATACATTGAGCTATATAAGTCAAAAGCAAATAAGATACTACAAAGTATAATTGGAATATATGAGCAGACAGTATAAAAGTTTGTACTTAATAACCTTCACCAAGGACTCAGTAATTGTTTCATAGATATAATGAACAAATATCAAAAATTATTTGTTGAGCCACTAAGGATAACCATTTCCGCTCCTTTCCTTTGAATAATCTACCCTTTTCACCCTTGGAATCATGGCAGAATCAATACACTTCAGTTATTTGATCTGAGGAGCAGTGACTTTTGGAAAAAACTTTTACATAAAAGTACCAAAAGAGAAGGGTAGAAATTCTGCAGTTGTTCTTAATGACTGCAGAAACTTGGTGATTGTGCATATTCACTATCAAAATGTATGTTTTTGTTGTAGTAGTAGGATTGTATGTGTATTAAATTAGGAGCAAAACAAAAACAAAAAAAATCCAAAGACTGACTCACATGCCTTGCATTTTCTATTACAGGCAGGCTTGTTTATTTATAGTAAAGCTGTGGTGAAATGGGGTAATGGCGAACTACTTTTAAGACAATTACTATATGTGACAAAGGTTAGTTGCTGTCATTGGCTTAAATCCAACTCCTAGTTCAATTTGGAGTAGAGTGCCTGAATCAATTGTTGAATGGTGGAATTACAAATTGAATTCAGGACAGTCCAATTATAAGTTTACTTACAATTTGCTGAGAAGTATGATTTAAATAAGAAAACCCAACTTGTATTAGCAGTGGTTTTTTTCTATAT